GTTTCTTTTTGCGCGTGGATTAATTTCTATTGATTTTTTAAATAATTTTAGACGCTGTTTGACAAATTTACAAACTTCATAAATACACATGGAAAGTAAAGTCAAAATATTTAAGTTCTCGAACAGCAGCTTGCAAGATTCCCGTGGGCCGATGGGGCACATTGCTTGTATACATCAGTTTTGAGTTATAAATGCTCGTTCGACATAAGTTCCATTACCCCATATGATTAATCCATAACGCAGAACCGACGCGATTTAGCCGGGGTAAGCGAATAAACAATTTACCATGCCGGACTGCCACGCAGAGGTCCCAGGTTCGATTCCCGGGCCGGGAGAAATAGTTGTATGGCCTACAATTATTTCTTGTAATATATAATATTAGTTCTTATAATAGTTGTCTATGTGTGTGTCCATGGCACCCGCGAAACAGGGTTTCCCTAGTGCGGGGCTATGTTGAGTGTGTGCGTTATTTATTTATTTATTTAATTTTTTTTAGAAGTAATTTGGTATTGCAATTTAATGAAATGCCCAGATAAGAAAAACAAGAACGTAGCATATTTTCAAGACCTAGAGAAGAAGCATAATACACAGCCAAGTGTAGCAAAACTCTTTTCGGCGGCTGCTAAGCAAGATGACGACGGACTTCGAGCTTCGTACAATATCTCTTTGTTAATTGCTCAAAAAGGCATACCACACAACATCGGAGAAGAGTTAATTTTTCCAGCAATAAAGGAAGTAATATCTACTGTGCTTCATAAGCCGGCCGCAGATATTATCCGAAAAATTCCTTTGAGTAATAATTCTGTGCAAAGACGAATTGATGAAATGGCCGAAAATATTGAAGAATCATTGTGCAATCATCTGAGGACTAGTTAATTCTCAATTCAGCTCGATGCGTGCACTTTACCAACTAATGAAGCATTGTTGCTTACGTGAGGTTTATTAAAGATGAGAAAATATGTGAAGAACTATAGTTTGCTAGAAATTTAGAGACCGATACAAAAGGTGAAACCGTATTCAATACATTGGAAAAGTTTTGTGATGAGAAAGAGATTCCCTTGAAAAATATTATATCAGTTGCTACGGATGGCGCTCCGGCTATGACAGGGTGCCATAAAGGCTTCATAGCGTACTTAAAAAATAAAATCCCAGAAGTCCTTGCTGTACATTGTCGTTACTTTTATCTATACGTCATCAAAGTAGTCAATAAAATCCGTAACAAACTCTTTGAATGGTAGATTATTTCATCACCTTTGTGTTACTTATGACGAAGATTTCAACCGTTTATTGTTTCATACTGAAGTTCGTTGGCTATCAAGAGGCAATTGTCTGACTCGATTTTACAACCCGTTTGACTCTGTAATAGAGTTCTTGGAAACTAAAGATACAGAATTGCGCAACAAGCTCATTACATCAAAGAATGATATAGCTTACATGACAGACCTGTATAAATTGTTCAACGACATGAATCTCCAACTGCAAGGCAACTGCGATGAACTAAATTTAATTAAAACAAAAAATGTCGTTGCTGCTTTCGTAGCCAAACTGCTTCTATACAAACGTGAGTTTCACAATTTTCCGAATTTATCAGTATCCTGCAGTAACGACAACTTGTTTGCCTACTGCCAATATTTGGAAATCCTCCACATTGACTTCACCGAACGATACCAGGACATTTTGAACTTGGAAATACCGGACTGGGTGTGGATCCGTTTTCAAATGTCAACACAGCAATATCACCTCAGCTGGAAGAAGAACTTATAGAATTGACAAGGAACGAGGAAATAAAAAACAAGTTCAAAAATGGCTACCAAGAATTTTGGCTACAAAAACCGATCCCGCAATTGTGCTCTGGATTGTCAATCGTTCAACGGTTCTTGATAGCATTCCCATCCTGACTCTCCCTCCAGACTGGAGGGCCTACCCCGCTAAACTGTCCTGTGCGATAAACATTTTAAAGATCACAAATATTAACAAAACGGGAATAATATTTATAAAACTGGATTTACCATCACTACTTGTTTACCATTTTGAACTTCAAACTCGCTAGTGAGATATATGGAGGCTACTACTCTCCTGAATATTCCAAGAAAGCAGCAGCGGTACGCGCGTTTCAATAAAGTCTTAATAAACCCTTTTATAATTGTACATCAACCATTATATAGTCATCCATAACATAGATAAAGATGCTTTATAAAACGTTTATATCTTTGCTATAAAACAAACACTTCAATCCTTTTCATTAATCCATCTAAGATTACGTGTACACTCGACTTGTCACAATTAGCGGATTTTTTAAATTAAATCGCGGCAATTACAGTTATTTTAATCTGTTATCGTGTTGTCGGTTAAGTTTTTGTGTAGATATACCAATAATCGTGTAGGAATGCAATGATAATGTCGTAAAGGCCGTGCGGTACGATAACTTATTCTTATAACAATGAGTCGCACAATCGCATTATTTACCTGCCGGCTTACCATGAGACAACAAACAAAGCAAATATGTCTTCTTTAAGGCTGTAGTCATAAACGCTGCAAAACAGTAATTATGATTATATTAGGCATTGACTTACAAATAAATGGACGACGGGTCTAATACAAAAACCACGAAAAAAAATGTCCCAAGTCAACCTATTCGAAATTTAAATTGTAATGTCATCGCAGTATCGCGCTGTCCGTAGAACAAATGAAGACTAAAGCGGAGTGTCGCGCTGTGTATACGATTTTAGCGCCTTACAAGTGCGGACACTTTTTAGCGCGGACCCGACGTCCATATAATTGTAAGTCAATGATATTAGGAGTCCATTCAACTTCAATTGACTTTAGCTGATTTCGTATAACGGTGAAAGTGTTGCATCGATCACTTTGGAAACAATATATTATACTAAAATTGAGAATATACACTAATTGCTATACGGTGTGAAATTCCTAAAAATTTTCACGATTGAAAAAAACACAAACTTACCTTGAAATTTTACAAGAAACCGCTGTATTCAGTAGGGACTTTACATACGCTAATGATTTCTTTATAACAACTGTACTAAATAGAACACGTATACCTACTATACGTTATACATTTTCCAAATGGCTGTAATTTTGTTTGTTCAAAAAGAAATTCTGAAATAAACCCAATGTCCCTGCCGCTTTACCCAAGCAAAATGAACCGTATTTATTTATTTATATTTTGGAGGGCACAAACAGCTTATATTACAATAAAATAGTGACTTAATTAAATAATTTGAAGCAAAACAGTTCCCTACTGATAAAAATACAATAATATTTGATGCATTGATAACAGTAAGACAATATAACATTAACATTAACAATATAAATATATTTTTAACATTAATAATATGTTACTGAATAAACAATTTTATTATATTATATTATTTTTTATAAATATAACATTACACACACACACATACTCTTCACGCTATACAAATAATGTATCACCACTCAAACCCGCCAACTCACTGTATTAATAAAAATTATTACGTATCACGTACGGGAAAGAAATTAAATTCGAACCGAGGTAGTATCGACTATTAAGGTGCGTGACAAACAGGATATCAAAAGTCGCTACATTCGCAACGCTACAACGGTGGATTCCACAGCTCACTCTCCAGATTGTTAATGGACGACTCGGTGGGAACAACACCTTGGATCTCCGATATTGGAGACAAGCGAGGAAACCACACATTAATAACGCACATACTCATAGCCCCGCACTAGGGAAACCCTGTGTCGCGGGTGCCATGGACACACACATAAACTACCACAAATTACACCCAAACTCACGAGAGAAATAAATATAGGCCATAGCACAGGCATACTTACATCTAAATAGAGGTCGGAATTACCGCAATCTGTATGAAACGCTGGGTTTTACATAACACATTTTAGTACCTCCAATGACGTCACAAACGTTATTTAGTGATTGGGACACTTCGTTTGGGAAATTGAAGACACGGACGCAGCACGTATTTAGAATTATTTTTCAAGTTTTGTTTATTATAAGAAGTCGTGAAATATTAATGAAGTAAAATTATACAAGAATAAGATAACTAAGTCCTTTATTATTATAAACAACAACAAATTTTATAGAATTGTGCCATAGACGCACACAGACAACCACAAATTACAACCAAACTCACGAGAGAAATAAATGTAGGCCATGCAAATACTTCTCCCGGCTCGGGAACCTTACCGGGACTTCTATGTGGGGAATTTATCCTTTCTTGTCACTCCACACATCCATTTCAACATTCGCATTTCCGCTACATGCACAGTTCGTTCATCCTCCCTTTTCATCGCCCAACATTCTGATCCATTAACATTTGAGTGAAGAAATAAATTTCTCACAGATGGCTTTACAGCAAAAAAGTCGTTAAAAACCAACAACAAAGATCTGCAACAAGCACGTAGAAAAATTCGTACGCTGCTACTGGTTCGTTCTGTGGATTAATTAGCAGAGCATCTGGATTACCAGAGGGTACTGCTTCGAAGCCAGCCAGATCGAATGAATTTTGCTTAATGTTTCGATATTTGTTAGTCAGTCAGTCAATTATAAAAATTGCTTTAGTTACTTACTTTGGGATCAGAGCAACGTATGTCACGTTGTCTAATATTTTTTTACCACCAATCGCACGACTTGTTCGTCACTTGGTATAAAAAAGAGCCTTTTTTTACACAAATGTAAGTGCGCATTTGACCTCCATCTCATCTGATGGAAAGTGACGATGGAGCATGCACACATGCATTTCACCTTGAAAAGGTCCAAGTTATAACGTTCAGGGAACTACTGCAGGCAGGGAATTCCACTCCACAGCCGTTCGCCACATATATGTGGAAGCGTAACGCTTCGTGGGAATCTTTGGAATATCCACAACATACTAGTGGAATCTAAGCCTACATCTAGTCCCCCGATGATGGAAAGGGGAAGGCAGAATTAAATCCTGTAATTCTTTGCCATACAGTAATGATCATATTTTTATTTTCAGGTGTAGGCAAAACCAGTCTAGTGGTCCGCTACATAGGCAAGATGTTCTCAAAACACATATCTCCCACTATTGGTGCTTCCTTCTTCACCTGCAACATCAACGTAAACGACGCGAGAGTTAAGCTTCAGGTGAGTTCACTCACAGAACTATAAATACAGTAGTAGTGATTAGTTAGCGCCCGATCCGTGCCAACTGTAGGTCTTGAATAGTGCCTGTCTGAGCTCAACCCGCCATTTTCGGTTTGTATGGTATGGTTGTGTCTTTCTTTCGTGCAAATTCTCTAAAATCCTAAAAAAATGCCTTATTGTGCTGTTTTGGAGTGCAAAAATGATAGCTGCATCTAACATATTACCCGTAGTAGTATTTCATATCATCCGAAAGTCTTATATTAATCAATTTTCTGATTACCGAAATAATTTTAATGTTACAAGAAACGAAAGTAAAACTTATACCCGTGGTATATGGTTGCTTCTTTTTTGGGGAACTAAATTAACAACTTCAATTCGTTGTCGTTCAGCAATTACCCACTAGATGACAGCACATTGATAAAATATCGTAACTTGCAATAATAGGTGTTGATGATATTGAACTTAATATGCCAACATAGTAAAGTTTAAATTATATTAACAATCCAGAATTTGTTATCTCTTTTTAAATTTGAAGCTACGACCAATCAATATCAAGATTTAGTAGTGTTTCAATTTAAGAATGTGTGAGTTTTGGCGACATCGGTTCTCATAGTAAACGAGGCTTAAGGCACTTCCATTGTATTTTCCTTCAGTGAGTTCACTAGTAGATACTGGTTAAAACCTTATAATTGACTTCTTCTTTAGCCGTTCTCATCTTCGAAGGTGCAGGCGTTCTTCAGTTTATGGCATCTTTCTCGGTCTTGAGTAGTTTCTGACCTCTTTGTTCCCGCCAGTCCTTTGATATCGTCATACATATATTTGTGATTGCAATCCTGACTTGAGCATTGAGTAGAGTTCTAGAATACGACCCTTAGAGCGAAAACAGCTCGCCGACAACCTTGTTGCAGTTTAGTCAATGTGACCGTCAATGTGCCGGGCGTGGTGCGGTATCTAAAGCTAGGAAGGGGCGGAGCACAGATATATCTAGACAGACGCCGCAAGTACAGCAATTTGTATGAAAACCAAGCGTGCCACATTTTTTGTACGCACTAAGACGTCACAAGAACTATTTAGTGATGGAAACCTCCTTCCGCTCGCTCTAAATCGATTGATTGAACGCCATATGCGTAAACACGCGTATTCCATTCAATTAATCGATTCTAAATAGAATAATTTTTGTTCAAGTATTTGTTTATTACAAGTAGTCCTAATATTAATATAGTAGAAAAATACTAGAATAAGATACTTAAGTCCTTTGTTTTATTTAAATGTTGGTTACTTAAAAAAATCAAGACTAATTTTTAATCGACTTCAAATATTAAAATCCTTCCAATAAAATGAGCTTATTATATAACATGTTTTTGTAATAGAAGATCTTGTCGATTAACTTAAATGATGAAAACGCACGTCAATGTATGAACTTGCGACTGCCTTAATTAATTTTACTAGATGGTTTTCTGTTGGTAATTGATCAAATTGATGAATGGCAAGACACACTAACTGCCTCTGTGGCCGAACGGTTACCATGCCGGACTGCCATGAGGTCCTGGGTTCGATTCCCAGGCCGGGAGAAATATGTGTATGGCCTACATTTATTTCTCTCGTGAGTTTAATAATAATAATAATAATAATAATTCATTTATTGCATGTCACATACATAGCTAATTTAAGATGTTAAATTTGGCGTTGGGCAGATAACATGTGACGCCCTGCAAGGGCATGGCAACTGCAGAAAACCGAGTTCATACTTATAATTACAGAATACGTCGTTTATAATATTACAATAGCTACATTATTAATTTTTACAATGTCATTCTTTACTTTACTAGTCTTGTTACTATATTGAATTAAACTTATACATTTAATAGTTATTAATTAATTAATTATAATAAAATTAATCATCTTATCGAGTCGTCAGAGATAAAAAGAGAAAATGAAATAATAATAATAATCTTTTAAACAGTAATAAATGAAATATATATTGATTATGAATTCTTATTCTAATTATTAATTAAGTTACCTAAAGGTCAAATCATTTAATCATTTAATCTGGTTGTCAAAAAATTCTTTTAAATTATAATAAGGTTTATTGATGAGGAATGTTTTCAATGCCTTACAAAATTGTGTCAATCTTTCCAGGTTTTTTATACTATTTGGTATGTGGTTGTAAATTCTGATCAACATATTTGGGGGGCCAGAGGCAACTAATTCCATCCTGGGAAAGGGTACTCTAAGTTTATTTAGGTTTCGGTCGTGTCTCTTATTATTATTATTTAGGGGTGAGAAGAGTTGAGGGTGCTTTCTGACGAATTTACATGACTCGAGAATATAGATGGAGGTAAGTGTCAGCATTTGGTTCTTGACGAAGTGAGGTCGACAGGATACCATTTGGTCAATATTACTTATTATTCTTACACACTTCTTTTGCAGTAAGAACACTTTACCTACATCACTAGAGTTCCTCCACAAAATGACACCGTACGATAGTACGGAATATGCATATGCATAGTAAGAAGCAAGGGCGGTCCTAAAGTCCGTAACACGTTTGAGATGCTGGAGAGCATAGACAAAAGAGTTTAATTTATTTAATACCTTCTGAATATGCTGCTTCCAGTTCAAATGCGTGTCCAGAATAACTCCCAACATTGGAGCAGTGTTCACAGATTCTAATTCGGTATTATCGTAGTTATATGATATTTGCAATGCTGTTCTCTGATGAGGTCTGAATTCAATAATCTTTGTTTTATTTAGGTTTAGTTCCAAATTATGGTATTCAAGCCAGTTTACAATTTTGCCTAGTGTTACGCTTAATTTTGTTTCTAAATCTCTACTGTTGCAACATGGGATTAGGACGGAGATGTCGTCAGCAAAAAGTATACACTGATCATCCAGTATATTTGGAAGATTATTTATATAAATAAGGAAAAAAAAAGGAAGGTTTGGGTGTAATTTGTGGTTGTCTATGTGTGTGTCCATGGCACCCGCGACACAGGGTTTCCCTAGTGCGGGGCTATGTTGAGTGTGTGCGTTATTATTATTATTAAATGAAAATGTTACTGCTGACAAAATATGGTAAAATCTTATTAATCAAAAGATGTTTACTTAATGACGGCCTCGTGTGAAATATTTGATTTGTTTATTATTTCTAGGATTTCTAACTCTGCTACTCTGTATATTTGGATATCATCTTAGGTGGGATGAACTAGACCACCTTCGTTCTCGAAAGCAACGAACTCATACTTATGACCAATTCCAGGTTTTTGTAAAGACGGCGCACTGTTAATTATTTGCATTATATTTTTTTTTATTACTCGTACTACATATCCGGCGATGTATGTAATTATTTGCTCACTATATTCGGACATTCGAGGCAATGTGCTGCTAAAATTATCCAAATTACAGATACTACTGATAATAGATATACAAAACTGAAAAAAAAAAACGGAACGTTGTAACAAAAGAGAGAATATTTTTATAATATTGCTAAGGTCATAATAATTTTCATCTCTTTGTTTTCAAAATCGATCAGAATCGAAAACAGTGTTGCCTAACGTATACATCACTAAATGTTAAATTTGGCCAAAGAAATGTACAAGCGGCCTTACCACGAAACTGAATGCATTATACAAAAGTGTGTTCGTTCGATATTCATGGCGTATTAAGAAAGGATCACAAATATATCGCACCAAAGTAAAAGCCGCAATGTATTGCAAAGACATACGCTCGGTTGCATATTTGTTTTTACGAAATTCATACGAAACCAAAATAATTGTTTTTAAAATAAATTATGCATCTTCTGATTACAAAATCACTTGCCCGTGGAAGGGAACGTCCCTGTTTACCCGTTTACCCACGGTTATGGTGTTTTTGACGTTTATAATGGCACAATTATGCATTTTTCGCGTTTTCGACTGGTGTTTATCTACGACATCGAGTACATAACCAGAAAGAGAGACGAAATAAGGGCCATATATTCCTGGTAACATATTAGCGATACAGCTCTTATAAATATCAACTCTCGTTTGCACTGAAATATAGACCGGCTAACTACTGACCTGTGTGTACGTCTCCGTATATTCCAAAAAATATTCTGAATTTATTGTAATAAAGATAATATTTTTCCCAATGCCGTGCTGTTCTATTCGGTGGTGTGGGAAAAACAGCAAAACATCTAATTACAAAACAAACGGTATCACATTTCATTGGAAATTAAATATTAAATATGTAATTTTGCAATTTTCGTCCATTATAGCAAAGCTCAAGTTAACTGGTCGAGTTGAAGTGAAACAGTTGACGACACCCGTCCATTGTTTCGAACTCGGGCTGGCCAATCGGAGCGCAGTTGTCACAGTAATGATATGGCTGAATAGTTTTCAAAAAAATTAAATGACATTTCGGCTCTATTTCTGGTTATATACTCGATGATCTACGATAACGGTCGAGCGCGTTCTGAAGTGTAGTAGCTGTCACTTACTTTGGGCACGCGAAGTACGTACACTTGCGGTGTATATCTAGATATATATCTGTGGGGCGGAGAGTATCCATTCTTGTTACTTTTTTGTTCTCTGGTACTGATACTCTGACAAAATTCGACACCTAAACTATCAATAGCGATAGTGTTTTGTTTGGAACATGTAGTTGCTGCGTATGTTCTTGTCTATACATTGAAGTTGTTGTAAGGCAATTTATTTTTCACCACACTTGCACGTAAATAGTATGATTGCATGCAGGCTACCTTTTGCTATAATGCCTCAAATAAAACCCTTGTTTCGTTTTTCTTCTCATTACAGCCATGCGTAATAAAACTCTCGCTCATTTTGAACTGCTGTTTATTCTTCCAATGTTACAAAAACGACGCACCACTTACACGCATTCCACTATTCCTTTTATTGAACTGTGTTGCCATTTCGGATGATTATTCTGCAACCAGCCCATATTTTTCTACAACTATTATAATGAAATGGACAATTACTCAAGTTATTGTTAGTCGTGTGTTAAATCACTAAAACCATCAAAAACATGTTCCAGGTGTGGGACACAGCTGGTCAGGAACGGTTTCGTGCAATGGCGCCAATGTACTACAGGAATGCGAACGCTGCACTACTGGTGTTCGACATCTCCAGTCTTGCCAGTTTCACGGCCATCAAGGGCTGGGTGCGCGAGTTACAAAGGTTAGTAAGAATCGTGTTCCACAACTCGGCATGGTTTCTTTCAAGGAGATCCGGATCACAGTCGACTACACTGATCTGGTTAGTGACTTCACATAACTTGGAAGAGTTTTCACAAATATTGGGGGTCTCTGCAAGGCAATTTTTGTATACAGGCTGTCTATTAAGCCGGGATGGGGATGTCAGGGAGGTATATAGATATTTCCAACGGTTTTTTTTATGCACATTACGTTTTTTACATTTTAAGACGCGTCTGTACTCAAACGTAATCGTCTTTTCCTAGCTTTGTTTTTCTTTTTATTATCTTAAATCAACCTGTTTTTTAATGAGCTAAGTATTAAATTACTTACCAAAATTTATTTTAAAAATATAAAAAAAAAATAATAAACAAAAACTTTTTTTTAATTATTTCAATGGGTGTGTTAAAAAAATAGAAATTGCACAAAAAACTTGTCTACTTATTCATCTAATTACTAAAAACGTACCTATCTATTTTAGTTATGGTTTTATTGAAAATTTTATCAAACATGTTCATTACAGCAATAAACGGGATAATTGCTAAAATGTGAAAAACCAAATTTTTTGTGATTTCAGTGTCTAAGATGGTTTGTTGATTTCTTTTTCTAACTTTAAATCAAGGAATAAAATATTTGAATGAGTGCATGCAGGCTAAGTTGACTATAATGCCTCAAATAAAACCCTTTTTCTTTTCATTACACGACTATGGCTGTAATGAGAAGCGAAAAGGCCCGACGGTTTTATTTTATAACGCACACACTCAACATAGCTCCGTACTAACCTTAAAAGGGTAACCCTGTGTCACTGGTGCCATGGACACACACAAATTACACCCAAACTCACGAGAGATATAAATATAGGCCATACAAATATTTCACCCGGCCCGGGAATCGAACCTGGGACCTCTGCGTGGCAGTCCGTCTAACCGTTCGGCCATGGAGGCAGTTTTATTTGGGGCGTTATAATCAAGTTAGCCTGCAATGCAATCATACAATTTAAATGCAAGTGTGGAACTATGACTAGACATGAACATAAAAAACAATTTTATATTTCACGGGCGGTACGGGAATTACGAACCTCGACTCCGAAAGCCCTAAGTCTAGAGTCTCTTTCGTAATTCCTTATTTACCGCCCTTTACAATGTACTACTAATATTTACAGTAACGTCCCAGAACCCATGGTCCTCTCACTGGTAGGCAACAAATGTGACTTGTCAGAGTCGCGAGCCGTGCCTACCAACGACGCGGCACAGTACGCTGCTGACATTGGAGCGCTTTACTGCGAGACGTCTGCTTTACACGATCAGGTATGAAGTCACAACAGGACTTAGAATGACTCGCTTTGCCATCACGTATTTGGTTATCATAACTGTACCAATGTTCTAAGTTTTTTGAAACCTGTAATACCATTGAGATTAGAGATGGGAAAAACTGCTTATTTTTTTAGTTTTAAACTAACGAAACCGTTTAGAAAACGTTTAAACGCATAGACCTTTATGTTAAAACAAGCTTGCAAAGTTGTGTTGATGGCGAAACGCAGGAGTAGACCACTAAAGATTTTAAGATATGTAAGTTTTTTGAAAAAAACGTGTTTTATTTTTATTTATGACATAACATTGTTATTGTGTCTTTGTATTTGGTTTTTCAACGACTTTTTAGTCGTAGCGCCATCTATGAGAAATCTATGAAAGATTTATCACCCAGTTAGTACCTTTACAGCTACTAGTCCTGGCGAGAGATGTCGCTATTCACTGTATTTTAAATTTTTATTGAATTGATATTCAATTATTTTTTGTGAAATTACTCCACTAGTTTGTTGTAGTGTTCGATCGTTGTATTAATGATTACAACAAACTAGTGGAGTAATTTCACAAAAAATAATTGAATATCAATTCAATAAAAATTTAAAATAACATTGTTATATTAACATTTTGTTCATTGGCGTTTAAAAGCGTTCAAAAACATAAGTTGTTTAACTTTTGTAGTTGTTAACCGTCGAAATGCAAAAAAAAACTGCTTATATTTTTAACGTTAAAACGTAGGCTTAAAAAGCGTGCTTGTAAAAGCGCTTTTCACTTAAACGCTTTTTAGTTTGACGCTTAAAAAGTCGTTTAGAAAAACGTTAAGCGCATAGACTTTATGTTTAAAAAAGCTTGCAACGTTATGTTGCATTAATTTGTTTAGGAAACATTTAAAAAAATGAAATTGTTGAGTACCTATAGAACTGACCAGTGATCAACGCTTACGCTTAAAATGAAAAGCGTGCTTATGCGTTTATTTTAAAAAGCAGATTTTTTAAGTGCTTTTCGTTTAAACGCCCACCTCTAATTGAGATTATAATGTAATTATGATGATATATATTATTTTGCTAAAATCTACAGCCTACAGGACTCGTGGAGTACCATGAAGAACCTCCCATGGAACTCCGTCCTCTTTCCATACGAACTCGCAGTCAGAGGTGCTAAGCACCACCGGGTCTCGCCATTAATTCTTTGGCCAACGATAAGGGAGTTGGTCCTTTATCACATGTGACATTGTTATTATTTAACAAGCACGGGCGGGTTTGATCTATATTGAATTAAAATGAGAAACTTTAAACTGTCTCTCCTCTTTGTATTTTTAATAGACATAGTTCTAAATGCAATGTGTGAATGTACGAACCGGTGCCCAGCAGTTGGACGAATAATGGACCGCTGGTGATTCAAATGAAACAAGTTCTGCTATTTATTGCATAATCATGACCAACGTGCAATCGATAGCCGATAGAATATTTATCGACGGCAATCACTAGCTACTTGCAAACGGGCAACATTTTTGCTCAATGACCTATCATTTCGACCCCTCCTACGTAAAGGTCGTATGTCGAAATTGCCAAGTATACATGGAAGCGTAACAGACCATCTAACCGATATCTAGGATTTTATAATACTCTATGTGAATAACGAGTGTTGCCGAATAAAAATGAGAAATGCTAAAGTCGCGTGTTATACTTATTTCAGTGAATTCAGAACTTTAAGACGCTCCCCTGTAAATTTGGCAATTTCGACTTACGATACTTTACGTAGGAGGGGTCGATTTAAATTTTATATAATTTATATTTAAACCTACACGGTTAAAGTTTATTACAGACATCTAAACAATTTTTTACTCGCCAATATATACTGATGTTTGCGTAAAGACTTACAAAAAGTTTTGTCTCGTTTCGAATTAAGTAGATATCTTTTAATTGTTCCCTACCATATTCAAATTTTTCGTTCAGCATTAGTATAATCTCGAATTTCACATACTTTGAGTTACAACACTATTACAATAGCAGTGCGATATGTCGATTCTATTGAAATTTAATCCAACGTTAATAATATATTGTGTAACATTATTGTCTTTTTTATTATTATTTCGACATACGATACTTTACGTAGGAGGGGTCGATTTTACTCCATCTTCAAAAAAGTCGGACTAATATAAATTTAAAAGCGACCTTATATATTTTATATACCTTGGTGCATATAAAAATGGTTCCATTACACATAATTGAACCATTTTTAGTAGCAGTAGAGTTTCTTGCGAAAGAGTTCGTCCAGGGAAGTACTGCCACTTTATCTATTTCTGCGCCAAGCAGTAATATCACTGAGTGACACTGCAACTGTTACGGACAGGCGTGTAGCTTACCATCAGGCGCACGACTTGTTCGTCCCGTCACTTAACATTATATAAAAAAAAAGAAATCCGTAGAAATACTATCATAATTGACACTATAGGATATACCACGGAAGAAAAAAAAGGTCTGTGGGAATATCAGTTAATACGTATTTCTTTTAAAAAAATGGATTTTTCTTTCTTTCGCAGGGAATCGAACACGTATTCCTGAGTACAGCGACGGCACTGCTGCATCTGTCCTCAACCACGCTCATGTCCTCCCTCCGTTCGTACGACTCGTCCGATGGGCTTGACCCCTTGCCCGCAGGTAAGCTCACACGTGTCAGTGAATCTTTATCATACACATACTGTACCTACATCTCAGTCTCAAAGATCACTAATTGTCCCGTTCGCACCGTTCCCACTGAACTGGAAACACCTGTAGGAGTAACTTGTTACGAATGTTGTGAGGAAACGTTCAAGTGCAGACTGAAGAACCTTTTATTGGAACCTTTTATTTATTTTACTCGAGTAACAGACATCGAGTATATAACCAGAAATAGAGACGAAATAAGGGCCACACATTCCTGGTAATTCATCAGTGAAACATCACTTATAAATATCAACTCTCGTTTGCACTGAAATATAGACATCGCCAACAACTGACCTGTGTGTACGAATCCGTATATTTCAAAAATATTTTGTATTTATTATAATAAACATAATCACTCTAACAATGACGTGCTGTTCCATTCCATGGTGTGAGGAAAAACAGCAAAACATATAATTACAAAACAAACGGAATTAAATTTCATCGGTAATTAAATATTAAATATGTAATATTTCAATTTTCGTCCATCATAGCAAAGCTCAAGTTAAACTGGCCGATTTGAAGTGAAACAGTTGACGACACCCGTCTATTGTTTCGAACTCAGGCTAGCCAATCGGAGCGCAGTTGCCACATTATGCCAGAATTTCAAACAAATTGAATAACATTTCGTCTCTATTCCTGGTTATATACACTCAAAGTACTTACATCCAACTCATGGAACATAGAAATGAAATGAGGCTACAGAACTCAGAGGATGCAAGTCACTACAGGCGGCTAAATAGGCAGATATCGAAGCGACTGCGACTGCGATTTGACTAGCGACATACGCCAATTTAATACAGAGCGTATTAAAGCGGCCATTGAGTGGAACAAAGGCTCCAAGGTGTTCGCGAGAGATCTATCTATTGGGCAAAGCTAACTGACGAAGCTAAAAACTGATGACGGTAGCATCATTTCATCTAAGCCTGAAATCCTGAGGGAGATAGAGAGTTTCTATCGACAGCTATACTCCACGAAAGCACCTGTTGAAAGCGAGGTTAAAAGATCCCAGAGCCAAGCTTACCCGACATTATACCGAAGATATCCCGGACGTCAGGCTGTATGAGATTAGTGTGGCTCTCAAACAACTCAAGAACAATAAAGCGGCGGGCGATGCTGGAATCACTACAGAACTTCTGAGAGCGGGCGACAAGCCGATACTTAAAGTCCCCCAGAAGCTTTTCAATTCTGTCATCGTCGAAAGTCAAACGCCGAAGGCATGGGGCAGAAGCGAGGTCGTTCTGTTCTTCAAAAAGGGTGATAAAACACTCTTCAAGAACTATCGGCCAATCTCGCTTCTGAGCCATATCTATAAGTTGTTTTCGAGAGTTATCACGAATCGTCTCGCTCGCAGGTTTGACGACTTCCAAACCTCCCGAACAAGCCGGTTTCCGAAAGGGTTTTAGTACCATAGACCACATCCATACGCTGCGGCAGGTCATACAGAAGACCGAATAATAATAATAAATAAATAACGCACACACTCAACATAGCCCCGCACTAGGGAAACCCTGTGTCGCGGATGCCATGGACACACACATAGACAACCACAAATTACACCCAAACTCACGAGAGAAATAAATGTAAGCCATACAAACATTTCTCCCGGCCTGGGAATCGAACCTGGGACCTCTGCGTGGCAGTCCGGCATGGTAACCGTTCGGCCACGGAGGCAGTTTATATTATAGGATATATAACCAGCCACTTTGCTTAGCGTTTGTGGACTATGAGAAGGCCTTTGATTCGATCGAGACCTGGGCGGTGCTGCAGTCTCTCCAAAGGTGCCAAATAGACTATAGGTATATAAAGGTGTTAAGGTACTTATACAAAAACGCCACTGTGTCAGTCCGATTACAGGATCAGAGCTCTAATCCTATCCAACTGCAACCACGCGTGAGACAGGGAGATGTGATATCTCCGATGAGTGAAATAAACCAAACTAAACTATCTTGTCGGTTCGGGAATTGAACCCGGAACACTTAAAAATAAAAGTAATTGAAATATAAATATGAATAAATAAATAACGCACACACTCATGCCCCGCGCACTAGGGAAACCCTGCTTCGCAGGTGCCCACGTAGCAGGTACACACGTAGACTAAATACACGTAAACACGTAGAATAAATGTTAAAAAAAAACTATTTCTCCCGGTCTAGTTGGTATAGCGTCTGACACGGTATGCTAGAAGACGTCGGTTCGAATCCGGCCGGATCGAAGGAATTTTTTCTGAGTGTTCGATCTTTGTATTAATAGTTATAGTAGAGCTCCTTGTGAAAGAATTCGCCCAGGGAAGTACTGCAGGTAAGTAACCTTACCTGTTTCTGCCGCCAAGCAGTAATGTCAGCATTACTGTGTTTCGGTTTTGAAGGGTAAGGGTGCTGGTGAAATTAACGTCATGCAACGAAGAGAGAATCAATTTAGAGACCAATAATTTAAGAACAAATAATTAATTTATTTTAAAACAAATAATTATTATGTTATCGACTTACTAAAAAAACTACACAACAAATAAAAAAATCAGTAACAACCAAACATAAAGTCAACAACAAAATATAAAATCAACAGCAACGAACGAACGAAAGTAATTTTGAGAGGAAAATGTTTTTGTTCTTTTAAACCTAACTTAACCTAACCTAATCGTATCTTTGCGATAAACATCCAACATATCCTGAAAGACCAACGGTTCCGTTATAATTCAGTTTTCGGTGTAATGAAAATTCGAACAAACGCTATTTCGGAAAAAAAATTCGGGTTTGTGATAGGTTACCTACCCTTCACAAACGTCAAACAAAGCTCAAAACAAAAGAAAACGACCAGCCAGCATCGATTCGATTTATCGATTGTATAGCGTATCTCTTTTGATAAATATTCCATTTTACACATCAAGTAGTTGGGGTAATTTATTTTTGTCTTTATAATTTCTGTTTCTATATACATAATAATTCGACCCCTCCTACGTAAAGTATCGTATGTCGTAATTGCCAAGTTTACAGGGAAGCGTTTTAAAGTTCTCTGTTTTATTCGGCAAAGCTCGTTACTCAAATAGAGTGATCATCTAATGCATCCTCTAACCGATATCTAGGATTTTATAATACTCTATGTGAGTAGCGAGCTTTGTCGAATAAAAATGAGAAATGCTAAAGTCACGTGTTGTGCTTCTCTCAGTGAATTCAGAATATTTAAAAGGCTCCTCTGTAAACTTGGTAATTTCGACATACGATACTTTACGTCGGAGGGGTCGATATACTGTACTTAAAATTACAATTGCGACAAATTGTTTTCACCTCACTAGCTCGGAAAGACTTTCTTTCTCATTAGAAATCTGCGCGCAAAAACGTTTTTTGCACGCTAGCGTGGAAAAGGTATTTGAAATTCGAACTTGACGATTGAATCTGGTGCACCCTTAGACTATTTTTTTCCATCCTCTAAGGGTGCACCTAACTTTTTCTTTCGATGAAAAAAAAAGATAATGACACGTTCAAATACGCGATTTGTCGTACATCACTTATTTAAGCACTCGCGTTGTACAACAAATAACTATTGTTTTTGGTATATTATAACAAATTTACTATTTCTTTTTATAACCTGGTTGAGAGATTAGTTAAAAACAATATGGCAACGTAAAAATTTTAAATGTCCCGTACCCATCCTACGTGAAATGGACTGTAACAATTCATAATCCATGAACTATTCAAGAATACCCAAATAATCCAAGTACTTGTTCCCAGGAGCAACAACAGAAGAACAGGCAACCCACACAGGCCGCGTGGAGTTGCCAGCTTGGACCCTCAGCGATATGGCACACGGCGACCCTCAGAAAACCATATGCTGCTAGCCAATCCTATCCTTGGAACACTTTTTCACCATTGGGACACTAATGCCCTGTGTAACACGCAGGGCGACATTCGCAGAGTACCTTGTGCTGTTAGACCATGGGACACGAATATATAATTTGGACACACTGCGTTGACAGACAGAGTTTATACAACCTCAAGTGGCTTTGGTTGATTTCGCATTACAGTGAAAGTGTAGAATCAATCACGTTGGAAAAACTACATACAGTAAAATAGAGGATATACACTGATTTACTATACGGTGTGAAAACACGATTCCTAGAAGTTTTCACTATAGAAAATTGACCTCGAAATTTTACAAGAAAAAAAAAGATTTTTTTTATCTCAATTGAACTAATAGAACACGTAATGGTATACGATATAGATTTTTCAAACAGCTTTAATTTCGTTTGTAAAAAAAATAAAGCCAGTGTCCCTATCGCTCGTCGTAGTATAAGTACGGTAAAAAATTCGAGCTGAGATAGTATACACTCTTAATACCAACGTGGACAAACACGGAAATCCCTGTGCTGCAAGCTCATCTACCCACCAATGAACTAGCCACTCGCATCTCATTCCAGTCCACTAATTTATTTATTTTTATTTATTTATAAATTACATCCAACAGCATACATTGTAAAACTTAAAAAGTAATTTACATGACCAGTAACTGTTGCCAATTATCACAGAAAAAAAGCATGACGTGACATAGTAACAATAATAAAAACTAAAAATTGTAAAAAAAAAAGAAAAAATTTGTAATAATCATATTTGTAAAATTTGCAGTAAAACGCAATCGAAATTAAAAATTAAAATTATGATAAATACCAAATAGTAGAAAATTACACAATTTTTTATTGTACAGTTTAACAATTATTACAGGTAACCGCTAAGGTGGATAAATTACTCTTTTAGTATATATTATAATTAAATTAAAAATTTAATATATATTATAATTACTCTTTTAGTATATTAAATAGTATTCGCGAAAATGTCAATTGTACTAATAAAAGACTTGTATGTTGTTGTAAGACGTGAAACAATCTCGTTCTGGCCATAGTTCTTACGACTTGGTGGAACGTAAAAAACTTTATGAAGTTGGTTACGAGGCTGATGATGGGACACAACAAGACGAAACAATGATAATATTTTTAATTGTTAAGATAAGAACTGATATTATTATACGAAAAAATAAACACTTAATATTAAAAAACCAAGACTAGCGTAAACTTAAGAACTTTGTATAACAAAAACGTAATTAAAATAATTGATGACGAATGGATTTTATTACAAAAAAGCTATGAAAAGTAAATTAAAAATGCGTCTATACAAAATGCGAATATTTTTGAAAAAACCGAATGTCATACTAAAAGTTCCGAAAACTATTGTTAGCCATTTTTACCGTAAATCACCTATAGTCTGTCTTTTAGTGACCGTCAGGATGGCTGGTCGCCGTCGCATCTGGTACCGAGTGTATATTCAAGCATTGCTACCTTTGATATATTCTGAGAAATCGAAAATATTATTGACCAGCCATTCTGACGCCAGGATGGCTGGTCGTCACTTTGTTCAGCACGAAGGGAGCAGATTTTCCAGAAGTATGTATTACCAATAATTACTACCTATTGGCTACCTTCACGAATTAAAGGTTTGCGATTCCTATCTACATTAGTTAAAAAATATAAACGATTGAAAATTTTACGAAGAAGTACCAACGCCTGCCCTTTGTATTACGCACTAAAAACTTTTGCTTTTTTAAATTTGATCAGGCACTTCTTCGTAAAATTTTAATCGGTTATATTTTTTTAACTACTGTAGATAGGAAGCGTATACCTTTGATTCGGGAAGGTCGCAATTCTTGAATATACTCTCAGCGCCAGATGCGACAGGCGACCAGCAATCCTGACGGTCACGTCTTTTTTGAAGACTGAGTATAATGACATTTGAAGGGTTGCCGTTTTCATAAAATTTTAAATAGTCTAGTAGTTGTTGTCGATAGTTTTATCGATATTGTGAATGTTACGACAGACGTTCTAGTGATTATTCTTATTTTGACAATGTGTAATCATATACATTTTAAAAAACGACAAGCGAAATTGGTTACGTGTATTAAATTTAAATTAAAAATTTTAAAATGTCTCCTATTTTTTATAGACATTCTTCTTAATTTAGAGTATGTATGTATGAATTTACAAAAATTAACAATTCAAACAAACCTGTACCGAGCAGTTGGACAAATAATAGGCAGAGGATGATTGAAATGAAAATAGTTCGGCTATTTATTCTATAAGCGTGACCAATATCCAGTCGATGGTCGATAGAATATTTATCGACTGCAATCACTAGCTACTTGTAAACGGGCAACACTTTTGCTCAGTGAACTGTCATTTTACTCCACCTTCAAAAAAGACAGACTTATATAAATTTAAGAGCGATCTGTTATAAACTTTAGTGCGTATTAAAATGGTTCAGTTATACGGAAATACTATCATAATTGACAATAAAGGATTATACATCAGCCAGTATGTATTTCTTTCGGAACTTAAAAAAATATACTATATTTTATTCATATTATTGTTATATTAATATCTATTCGACTTTTTTATAAAATCAAATAATAATTTTTAGACAATCTTTGAACGTTCGATAACTACGAATTTAATAATTGTAAAGTTTTAAAGAAATCTATTTAATGTACTTTTTGTCACAGAGGAATGCTTAAAAAGGCTTAATTATGATAACAATGTTCATAATGAGCCACGTCCACATGGACCAGAACGTTTAATTTGAGAAAAAGATTACTTCAATCATCTTTTCATTTAATTTGAAAAAGGAACGACTTCAACCGTTCTTTTATTTAGATTTAATTTGTAAAAAGAAATAACTTCAATTGTCTTTTGATTTAATTTGAAAAAAGAATTACTTCAACTGTTCCTTTTTTTAGATTTAATTTGTAAAAAGAATAACTTCAATCGTCATTTCAAGCTGATTTCATTTGAAATAACAATATCTTCAATCGTCTTTTGATTTTGGTTAAATGTTCTGTATATGTGGCCAGAGTTATTATCATAATTCAACCTTTTCTTAGCTAGATTTTCTTTCCTCCAAATATATCAATGAGTGTATTTTAGGGGCTGGTTCAGTATATTAAATGAAATAGTATATAATATCATAAATTAAGTAAAAAATATTATTATACAGATACAATAAGACAATTAACGAAGGGCATAATATGCCGCAGCCAGATGTGACAAAAAGTGTTGTTTTTTAGCTGTTGACCTTGGCTCCGAGTTATTAGCTATATATCATCGACAATAGAACAATGGCTGCAGTAAAAGCCCTGAGCCATCATAATACGATTAAAAATTCACCTTGTATAAGTTATTCGTTTAAATGCACGTTATTGTTTAGTTCTTAAAGTAAATGTTGCAAAAGAATAGACAATTTTATTAATTAATAAGTGCACTTGCCTTTAGACTAAATATTTAATATTGTGATACATAATTATATCGAATTAAAATAAATGGATATTTTTGTAAAAATTAGGTTTGTTTTTTTACATAAACAATTATACCACGGACCAATAATCAATAGGACTGCTTACTCTATACTACAGATCGCTCTGAAAAAGGTCATAATTCTCCGTCTTATAAATAGATGACGCTGGTCAATAGCCTGGAAGTAATAATAATAAAAGCTTTATTTCTGACGTTAAATAACTCTAAAAACTTAAAAATTTGCCTTATTCTTTAACAAAATTTATTTTTATTTTAACTATGTATCTATTAGTCGGTCCGCCGTTTAAAAGCTATAAGGGTGTTTTACTGTTCACGCTGGAATAAGCTTATACCAGCGGCCCCGTTACACTAAAAAAGTCGTGATTTTGTCGGTTCTAGTCGTAAAAAACTAAATTTAGTCGTTATCTCGTTTTGAAGTTATTAAGGTGTATACACGCTGGATTAAGCTTATTCCGGCGGCACCATTTTTGAATCTAGAACCACCTCCTAACTTAGATCTGATTGCACACAGAATAAGTCGGTTCTAGTCGCAAAATTTTAGAATTAGTCGCTGATTTGGTTACAAGATACAACAGATTTATTATTTCAAGGTTATACCTGTGTTATTTTGCATAATATACAGAATTTATTTCATCATATCAGCCTGAAGACGTCCACTGCTGAACATAGGCCTCCCCCAAAGATTTCCAGACCAGCTGATCGGACGCGACGTGCATCCATGTTACCCGCCGCCCTTACCAGGTCATCTGTCCATCTAGTAGGGAACCGTCCCACTTTTTTGCCCCAACGGCCATCAATTGTACGAGCTATGTGCCTTGCCCACTGCCACTTCAACTTGCTAATCCTTCGAGCTATGTCGGTGACTTTCGTTCTTCTACGGATCTCCTCATTTCTGATTCGATCACGTAGAGAAATGCCGAGCATTGCTTGCTCCAATAAAAACAACAGCAAATGAGACCCCATGGGCAATAGTAGCGAAGGGGTGCCCTCAAGGAGGGGTATTGTCGCCTCTGCTGTGGAACATGGTCGTAAATGACCTTATCATTAAACTCAACAAAGAACATTTCTATACAATAGGATATGCTGATGACATAGCTATACTGGTAACAGGAAACTATGCCAACACACTTTGCGACATTACACAAGCGGCTCTCCGAATTGTGGAAAGATGGTGCAGAGCATATGAACTATCGGTAAATCCAACAAAGACGGAACTAGTAATGTTTACCAACAAACGACTACTAGGTAACTACCGATTACCCAAACTCTTCAGCACAGAACTACAGATATCAACCGAAGTCAAGTACTTGGGAGTAATACTGGACAACAAGTTGAACTGGAACAAACATATGGACAACAAAATTAAAAAAGCCACTATCACCTTCTGGCAGTGCCATAGAATGGTGGGTAAACAATGGGGACTTTCACCCAAGATTACACTATGGCTCTACACTGCGGTGATAAGACCCATGATCAGTTACGGCGCGATAGTATGGTGGCCACGAACCAAGCTGACGACCGCAACCGACAAACTGGACAAATTCCAAAGACTAGCGTGCATGGCGACGACGGGCTGCATGAGGACAACTCCAACTGCAGCCCTCGAAGCGATGCTGGACCTTCGACCCCTCCCACTGTTCATCAGACAGGAAGCGGCGTCAACAGCAGTGCGTCTAAACAGAGCCGGCCTCTGGAAGCACATGAGGACCCC